GCTGTTTAAAATTGTTGTTTTTTTTAGAAACAATAGATAACAACATTACGGTTGCTTCTGTTCGGATATTGAGTTACAAATTCTACTTCTGAAGTAGAAGAAAGTCGGTATTTGGGTATCTTTCGCAAAGCTCGGATTTGTGAGCTAAATGTTCCAATGATTTTTAAGATCCCTTCATTCCCAGATTTTTCCTGAGTTATGTATAATGAGAGAGATCAATGATATCACTGGAGGTTTTAGTGACAATACTATGTATATAGCATACGTTTCACTAAGCGTACAATAGTTACGATTACTAGACATCGGCAGTTCCCTACTAACTGCACCAAGCAAGAAATGAAGTTGAAAATTGAAGTTTTCAACTTGCTGTAGTCTTGCATTTCTTATACTATTTGATGGTAGTCTACATACCGATCAACTCTAGCGTTTTCCTTTGCATTTGAAGAAATGCTATAAGTTTGGCTAGCAAACCTTCAAAGCTGTCAATGAAAGGAAAATCCGCATTTTTTTTTNNNTTTTTTTTTGGAGTGCGATTTCGACAGATGACGGTGAAGTGAGAACATTGATCTGATCTGACAGGGGGCTTCAGGTTACAAAAGCATCAGATCCGTTCGGCTTCTCGTCTTGGCAGATGCTCGTAGGTCGTGCAATGTGAAGCATGACGGAGTGCAAATGGTTGACGACAAAAAGTGATAAGTAGAAGTTGGTGAAAGCTCATGAGAGCCTTGAAAGACAAGAGTTGGTAGATTTCATGGAATCCTGGCTCTTTGGTATTTTATCAGGGATATGACGAATTCGGAGAATGTTGGTAACAGACAATGATGACGTCTGGTAAGTGCTGAGAAGGGTATTACAAGGCAGAGGTATCAGTGTCTGTTACCCTTTCGTATGAACGATTGAGCATTTTTATTTTAGTTTGCTAAGAGGGATTTGCCGGTAGTTCGGATGGAGGATTACTTAAAATAATCTCGATTTATGAAGAATGGTAAGAGGGTTAAGAAGGAAGAAGATATTCTAAGCGGCCCTCTTCAGGATTTTCAACTAAATCATGCAAATATATAGTGAAGATGACAATAGTGAGATATCCAAGATGGGGCACTGATATGGTTAGATACCGTTGACGCTATTCTTTTTACTTTCGCCTAATAATAAGACTATGATGTTCCAAAACGATGATGAGAGGTTTTGCTTTTAATCGTTCCCCTACCACTAACAACAAAACTTACTCGCCGTTGACATCAGATATAATAAGACTATGACATGGACCTGGATGAAGCTGAAAAGCTGAAGTCGGGAGCTGAAAAGGCTTGAAGAGCAAAGGGTAATGACTGTTTGCTAACTTTTTGATTGCTTTCATAGCTTGATATCGACGCTCATGATGAAGCAGTTATCGATGAGTTACAAATATTTGTGAGTACCATCCGAGGCCATTTGGTTGAATGCAAGCATCAGCCAAATGAGAAGACTGGCTACGTATGTGTTGGTTAGATCTAAGAAAAGGGAAGGCTAAATACAAAGTATGTGGTTCAAGTAGACTAAAGTTTAGAACGGAGAATTGCTTCATCATGAGCGTCGATATCAAGCTATGAATTCATATCGTATTACATGGCATACGATGAATTATCCCCTTCCCCTTTCCCTTCTTTGGCATAGTCGCGATATAAGGTATTTCACCATCCATTTCGACTCATTCAACATTTATGGCCACGAAATTCCCACTTTCAGCCACCACTTTCTTTCGTTTTTATGAACCATCTCATAGCTTTTATATGGTCCTCATTTTTACTGCCAGTTATAGGGGTTGTGGTCACACTCATGATTGAAAAGAACAATCTCAGTGTGGTTTTCCTCAATTCATGGCATCTTTTACATCTTGCTGTCGTTCCTAATCATCCACCAGTTGTTTCGGTTTGCATCTCATTTAGTATTGACGACACTCGTTTGTGGTGAAGGGTTGGTGATCCTGAATGCTGTGGGAACTAAAACCATACATGTGATCGATATTCTTACTTTGTCACAGGTCCCAAGGCGATCGGTTTGATTCAAATGGTATAGGTGAAGCGAGCGATTTTGAGAAGTATCAGAATTGAGGTTCCGTGACTATTTGGCTTGGAAAATATCTTCCCTGTAAATCTTACTAAAGTTGATTGTGTCAGATGTTTTCAGTTTGGGCGGGGTCTTAGGTAAAATGCTGCTTCCTAAGTTCAGAAGACTCTGCAGCAACTTTGTACTAAAGATTTTGGATCTAACATCATTTTCAAACCTTTGTATGAAAATCACTTTTCATCATATCTTATCTTCGCTTTTTCGAACAGCAAAGCTGAATCTTTATCCACTCAAGCGGTTGGGCTGATTTTGTAGGCTGCAAAAATTATCGGCCCTGTAATCACGTAATATTTTAACAACTGGAACTCCACAACTGAGGTTGGTGGGTGATCGTAGATTCTTTGAAATTCTTTTTCTGGACTAATAATACCACATCAAGCTCGTATCAGAAGAGGGAGTCATCAAGACTGACACTTACGTTGACGAGAAAATTGGCCTTGGTCTTTTACCACAAGTAAAATCGTTGCCGAGCATTACTTATAGCTAGAATTCCTCGATGCCAGTGTCCTCCAGAGTTTTCTTTTTGTGAAACACATTCCTTCTAACTTTCTGACGTTTTTTATTCTTTTTTTCAGTCCGTTGAGCGATAGAATCGGTGGTTTATTATGGTTTTGACTCAGAAGATTCAAAACGACTTTTTATGTGCTAATTTGTGTTTAAAACCTCTTTCAAAATTACTATGAGTCAAATTATTTGCAAAAAAGGGTTCGTGGTTTTACAGAGTCAAGTCAGGGGGGAAAAGCCGGTGACGGACTAGGAATAAAAATTCCAAGATATACTTTGTCTGGAAAGATTGCGAGCGAAATAATGTCACAATTGCTTTAATGCAACCTTCGTTGGCTAGTGCAGGCATTTGAATTCTTTTTAAGGCTAAAACTTGAAAGTCGTAGTGAGGAGAATGGGAGGATTACGTTCCTGGCTGTAAAATCGCCATCTTTCACCATCACCGTTACATTTTCGTGTTCTCCTTCCTGCTCTTTTGGCCCGTTGCTTCACATATTGATCCCTTTGTGTGTGGCATTCTTCTCTTCGTGAATACTTAATTAGAAATGGTCTACTAAGTTTATGCACCCAAATCCAGTGCTCAGGTGCTTCTCCCCGAGTGCTGGATGTCCGTTGTAAATCATTACTTGATGCTTTTATTGAAACTCTCTGGCCAACGTGTTCGAATGACGCTGGTTCGCAGGGCGCTCCTCCTCATTTCTATTTCACTAATCGCTTTAACTACCGCTCACTAAAGTGCACACTTCGATGTCGTCGGGATGTGAACCGTTCACCATTCCGCTCGAACGATTTTGTCGCTGTTTCACTCACATCCGGGCCATACATAATTCATTCGTCTCGCACTCCCCGAGCTACCTCGCAATTGTCCATACACGCAGGTTAAAGGCTGAGTCGAATGTTTGCGCGATGCTTTAGCTGCTCTGCTACTGCTACTGCTGCCAGTGTTGGCGGTTTCGGCTGAAATCGCTCGCTCTCTGCTCGCTTAGGAATTGTTCTTCAGATTCTGTCGTTTATTGTTTTCGGTGAATTACCTGCCCTATATGGTTAGGCCCATTTTCAAATCATAAACAGCTGAATATATAGGGGCACCCTAAATACACGGAGCGTACTCGAGTTTTACGTCGAACCAACTTTTTAGCAAAGCGAAAATGACAGGAGTTAGAACGAAGGGTGAGGAAGTGTCGGTAGCGGAAGGAGAGCTCGTGTAAGAACAGATGGTTTCGAAGAGGGAAGTGAACTAATGGAGAATTGATTTGCTGGGAACATGCAGTTACTTTGTTTGAAGCGGGAGCTGGGAGAAGTATCGAGCTTAGAAAAAACGAAAGGGTTGTCACACACAGCTTCTGAATTGTTCAGTATTAGTATCTTTCTGAGAGCTGCTTCTGCATGCATTCGAGCTACAGATAAACTTATTCGCAATTCTGACGGCATGAAATCTCTCTGTCTCATATCCATTTGTTCAGAAATGTCTCACTTTTTTGATTACGTTTTTCGAACTGAATACAATATGCACACTCACACGGTCAAATGCCTACTGATATTATTATCCTGTCACCGGTTGCATTCAAGAAAGACGTTGTAATCGGTGTTGTAAGGTACCATTTTAAGGGAATTGAAGGGATTATCCCGCAAGGTTATGAAGATCGCGTTCGGAATGGCATACTTTCAAAAAAGGTTTCAAGCGAGTAGACACTGCAGACTCGCAGCTCTTTACTAGTGTTATAGTACAGTCAGTAGGTCTTGGCGAGCTCGATCGATTTATTCCACCTGCAGAGCATCTCGTCAGAAAGGAGGGTTGCTGGGTTGAGAGCAGATGACTCGAAGACTCGGGCTCACCTATTTTTCTAGCCATCGATCATAAATGAAAACTGTCGTCTAATTTTCTTTCTAACTTTTTCCGTGATTTCTATTCCTATAAATAATAAGATTTTTCTGCAAGGAGTTAGAAGGCTTCCACTGGTAGAGTTGTTTATGCTTTATTGTTCTCTGATTTTCTGTTAGAAGAAAACTACATATTTTAACGGTCGGCGATGAGTTGTGAAGCTTGTTTAATCTAGATGAAGGCATAAAATGGGACAAGCATATTAAACGACGCTTCCAATTATTCTTCTGCATGATTTCTTACGCCTATTCAAGTGCTGGTTTGCCTCAAAGCCGTTTACGGCTGCAGCCTTGTCTAATTACGTTCGTCAGGGAACGGCTATATTGTTAGCGTTAAATTTAACCACTCGAATCTCTCATCCCTCTTTCTTTCCGCGTCCTAATAGCTGTCTAGACTTCTCAAGGGTGCGCTGCTGAGCAATAGAAGTGGCACCCCCAATTGATCTATTTTCTGCGTCCGCCTTAGGCTGTTTATCTCGATTTTTCGCCTTTAGTTCTGCCATACAAGCAGCAGAACCAGATCTTGGCATTGCTCCAGCCAGAAATTTACCTTCTAAATATTCCTTTTCTATAAAGCCTGTGACTGTCTCTACTATACCGAAATCTTTTCAGGAAATGAATCGAGTTTCGGTTCCTGGGAGTCCACGATCCCACTACTCACCGCGGTTGTTGAATGGTCATGCCGAACCACTTCAGGAGAGGCACCAAAGGTTTTATTTACTTATATTTCAACAATTATAACTAATTATAATTAATTAGGTGTGGTAAACAAATACCTCGACCGCGCCGATCAACTTACTTTTATAGGTTTTCCGATCCTGACCCGCTGGATACGGTGTCTCGGACAGCACGTGTCCCTCCTCCGAAGATCTTTCCTACGGGTACGGTACGAAGAACGGAGAGTTTCAATTCGGCACCAGGAGTACTAGCGGTCAGTTATAAAACTTAAAAATTGATTTATAATATAGAAATTATATAACCCCGTACATTGGTTTTTCATAATAGCTACACTTTAGCTCTATTTCTTAGACATTTTTATTTTTTCAAGTTTTTTTTTTATTGTAATTGTTAGTTGTGTTGAAAGATTTGCAGCACACTTCAAAAGTCAACTCACCGGAAGCATTACTTGTTGCTATTAAGATGACACACACCTTAATGAAGTATAAAGTCTCCAGGGTGTTGATCAATCCCGTATGAGGGATGCGTCCCCGCATTCGACTCCCAGAATCGTAGTGATGTATTGAATGCGTATGTGCCCATACAATGACTTGCGCTGACCAGCCGATGTTCGAGTGAGTGCTTTTATCCTCCCGGAAGAGTCTGATACGAACTCACCGACCCTGGAGTGATGGAAGGCTTGCTTGGCTTAGGCGGGTATCGATCCTGGATCCGAAACCATGACCATACGCGTGCGATAGTGCGCCACTTGTCGTCACTACATTCGCCCACACATCTTAATGAAGGTTGAAATTCTAATCTTTCAATATTAATCCGTAGAACCGAAACACCATGACGGAATCAAATGTTCTGAGTTCTTGAAAAATTACCAAACAAACCTCGTTTTTTTNAGAGGAAATCACCGCAACACCTTGTTTTTCGATAAGATATTTTTTGAGTAAAAAATGTCAACAAATAATAAGCTCCATCACGTCTACTCCCACAGACANTATCGATCCTGGATCCGAAACCATGACCATACGCGTGCGATAGTGCGCCACTTGTCGTCACTACATTCGCCCACACATCTTAATGAAGGTTGAAATTCTAATCTTTCAATATTAATCCGTAGAACCGAAACACCATGACGGAATCAAATGTTCTGAGTTCTTGAAAAATTACCAAACAAACCTCGTTTTTTTTCATTATTCTAACTTTTTCTCATGGCGAAGATGGTGTAATGGCATGGGGCGCACTATTATACACGCATGGTTCGGGGATCGGATCCCGCATTGATACTAGCCTAGGTCACCCAAGCTTCCGATTCTTTCAAAATCGGATAGTTGAGATACGTCTGGGAGGATGAAAGCAGCATTTGTACATTGGCTGGATACCGCGAGTCATCGGATTAACCACATACGATTCAAACCGTCACTTCGATTTTGATAGATGTCAATGCGGGACGATTCTCAAACCCGGATAGATGGTCGCCAACGACTTCATTTTTCATTCAATACTTGAATTACTTTTTTTCGTGGTAGACTTTTAGAAGCAGCGTTTTATTGCGTCGCCAGCGATTTCTCCACCCCTTGGCCAACTTTTTGTCACATCGGCTTGGGCCTCCAACATTGGAGAGATTGGTGCTTCTTAAGAACTTTGCTTTTCAAACATCTCAGGGAAATATTAATAATTCGTTCAGGTGAAATTATGGAAATAAGTCGGTAAATAGTGTAGTTTGGGTATAGTTTGTGGAAGCTTTCGATCTACCATACACATGTCTAGGCTTTTCATTTATGTGAACTTGATGCAGAAAACATGGATGTCAGTGGAAACTTACAGCCGTTAAGCAGAATAATTGTAGAATTGTAATCTAATTGAAGAAGGAGGTTTTCTATTTCAGCCACCAATGTACACGTTGCCACGGTCGTGTACAACCGTCCCACCACCAGATCCTATGAGTCGGTTACATGACCCACTCTCAGCTCGATCTCATCATGACCCTCTCGGACGAATGATGGATCCCCTTCAACGACCTACTGATCCACGACTAATGAGCTCCACGATGTCCCGACATCAGGAAGCTCTGTCAAGGTCGCTATGCTCCCCGGTACTGCCAAGGCCATTGCGGGCACTCGACAACAAAAGTAACTCATTGCCAAGGAGGAGGGCCATTTCAGGTAGAGTGTTTTCTTTTTCCTTTACAAAAGCATGCCGCTCAAGTAAAGGGTTTATTTCTAAAATATTCCAGTCATTTAATTTGTAGTCGGTTTTTTTCTATCCTTTCCACCCATTCATTCTCATCTCCCAAAATACGTAGCAGTGTACTGCCAGAGTGGAAGTTCGAGGGTACCCGTCTTCTAGTCCAATTATGTCCGCTTCTCGGGAAACTCAGATCCATCCAATTTCATAAAACAAGCACTTTTCATATGTCGGAGGATTCCGTGATGTTCGCATCGTTTTTCTCTTAACCGCATTTCATCACATGGACTGCTAGTGACGTAATGCATCCACTCACCCCTTATGCGAAAATATGGGCGCGCTGGCTCCCCACATTGCGCAAAAGTTCTCCTGCAGAAGTGGCACCATCAAGTTTTTGCTGCGTTATGGCTTGACCCTTGGGAAGCACCCGCACAAATGTCCAGCGACTGGAAAACGAATGCTCAAGCCTGGCTATTCATTACAGGTCCCCGAAATGTAAAATGGCGCACGGACGTGTTGGCCTCGAATGCCATGGGCGATGATAGCGATGGGGCGACATCGGCACCAGAGTACGCAGGAAGTCCATCTGGTTACGGTCGGAGTATGGCACAACGTAAGTCTTTTATCCTCGTCTAGCAGGCTTACCCTCATTATCGAGTAAAGAACAAAAGGCATTACACTTGACGGTAAGGGATAGGTTCGTCAACTGGGTAGCTCAAATGAATAATTATTCACAGGCCTTATTCAGCGCAAGTTCTTGACTTTTCACGGATCTACGTGGGATTTGAATGCGCAATAATTTCTTTAAAAAATGTTGCCAATGTCTGCTTTTTAACAAAAACTATTGTGGCAGGTAACCAGATAGCTGAAAAACATCCAGGCGATAAGTGTGGGAGCTTTTGTTAGCTTATGAGAGAGGAAATCACCGCAACACCTTGTTTTTCGATAAGATTTTTGAGTAAAAAATGTCGACAAATAATAAGCTCCATCACGTCTACTCCCACAGACACCCTTTGAACATACATGGAGACTATCTTTATGCAATCATCATGGCGGTCATGCATATTTTCCTTCCTGTTTCACAGAATGTTGATTGCCATTGCGATGTCGCTGCGTCTTTTCAACCTCTTAGACGAATAATGTCAGCTCGTGTTATCCCTTATTCAGCGAACGGGCCACTAATTCATTATCGCGGCAGCATCAGCGATTTCACGCGTAATTTCTCGCTCTTTGGAGAGCACAGCATGATGGAAAAGCGTCAGCGGAGTGGGGGAAGGAGCAATAAGTGGCTGAATGATGGGCGAGGGAGAATCCAGGGTTAGTCAGTAAAGTGATCCCAATTTTATTGCTCTGGATTTAGCAATGCCTCAGACTATTTTCAAAGGGCTTCTCGCTTCGCGGAAAGCATAAGTTCCCTAGAGAGTCTGTGTTAAATCGAATAGTAAATAGGCCCATCAAAGAAGAGATGATGGCTTTCACTGCTTGTCTTCAAGTTTCTGTTGAAGGAGGGTTTTCCATAAAGATTTCACCGCTGGATACCAGATTTTTCCAGATTTACGGTTATCAAATGGTGGCCCAGGCCGGACGGTGAATGATATTTTCTCTGCGGCAGAATACCGAAATTGGGCCATACCCTCCGATCCGTCGATGGTGGGAAGGCAATCCAGGTGAGTATGAGCTCCAGCTTGCCAGCTTGCTTTTTACTTCGACTGTGTGCTCACTCTTATTTTTACAGTTTTTTTCATAATTCCAATATTACTACTAATGCATCGAGATTGCTGTGGTATTCATTATTTGACATTACTGTTCTTTAACTGCGCCTTTACAACCTTCCATTTATTGGTAACATGTTGAAAAGCGTTTACCCTTACAAACTCACATATGGGGGCCAACATTGTTCAGTGGGATTTGTTAGCTAGCATTCTGAGACGTAATGTGTAGTGCATTTTTTATGTTTTAGAAGAGGAACTGTGGTTGGGGCTGCTGAGCGTGTAGTGAGTCTGACTTTTTGTGTGTAGTGCCCTGACTTTGATTCCTTAGTGTATGCGGTTTCGTGCTTTCGATGGGAATGCTCTAGGCTTGTTTCGGACGAATCAGTGCTATCTTTGATTTGCATAGTCATGTCTCCAACACATATTGCTATATGCTGCTCTTTTCGGATGATGCCGTTGCTCAACTGGAACGCGCACAAACTAAGGACATTCACGTAAATGTCAAGGTTCTTCATAGCAGTAATAAGAAGTTGTATTAGGCCATTTTGAATGAAAGGACTATTACTACTCTGAAAACTTCTTTCACAAAGTCGTTGAAGCTGTTCGACCCCTGTTGTAGAGTCCGAGCGTTGAAGGGTAAGAGCTATCGGAAGTTCTGTCAGAAATCTCTGCGAGGCGATGTGCGGTGATCTTTTGATTATACGATGAAAACAATAGCTTTGAGGGAGGCCATGTACCCAACGGCGCCTGGCGAAGACGAACACGAAAGAATCAGCGATCAGGAAAGTAGGGTTACATGAGGTTTCCTTATGGAACCGCAGAATTTTAAAAATTCAGATTAAGTTGAGTTTTCTTCAAGATAGTGTGCAATGCAGTAATTCCATAAAAAGTTCTCCAACTGAGAATCTAAAACTCCGATCTCTTCATTCGACCCACTCGTATACTCCCAGTTAAGAATTCCCAATCGCAGAGCTCCTTTTACGGAATTGAAGCATCCCATGTTGCAATGAAGAAATCTCCGCTGAAGCTGAAAATTCAAAAGATTAAATTTTTACATGATTTGAGAGAGAAATGTGAGGTAAATGAGTGGCAGACTCCCAAACGGGTTCGATGTGGAACTGCTTGTTGTAGAATCGAATTTGTAGAGCAAGATTAATAATTCGAACTGATCCTAAAGCTAAAGATGTTTTTGCCAGTCTCTTCCTAAGATACTATGAGATTTCAATTTTTCCAGGTGGTCTCATACTTATGGTGATCCGCGAGGTCCGCGATCAACTTCTCTGCCTGGTCGGAGCATAGTAGCTCAGGTAGGTGAACTATGCCCATAGAGCCTCACTTGCAGCATTCTTGCAAATTGTCTATGCATTCGTGTAGAATCCATCCATTCCTTCCAGTCCTTAGTCGGTTCGCCAGTCCTGCCGAGACATACTGCTGCCCAAGATCGCCCATCAGCTGTTCTAGATCGGTACCATGTGTCGCCGTTGATGAACAGGTTAGAAATTGCTGGAGAAATGTGCTTGACTCTTTTTTTTGCCTGTACGTCTTTTAATTTATTTGCGTAATTTCAGACGAGCACCTTTAAGGCCGGCAGGTCCGGGAATCAATGTGGATAGGTTGAACATTAATAGTCTCACGGGTATTCTTTTTGTACAGGTATGTTTTCAGTGGTTTTCAATCCAAACTAAATCTAGTGGCGTAATAGAAGAGCCAGGAGTAGAAGTAATCGAAAAGGGCTGGATTTCTGAAGATTTATAGACCGATTAGTGATCTACCTGAACTCTTTCTTTGAATTTAGCGGCTGACTCTCAGGATATTTATCAGGCAAGGCCCCAGAAGTAGGGAACTCATTGTGGGAATCGTCAATGTATCTGGTCGTTTTGAGAAAATTATCATTTTCATAGCGCTACTAGGGGCGTTAGCTCATAAACTTTCTGGGGAAGAATTGTTTTTCCCAAATTAATTGTTTTAAAATTGAATTCTGTTAAGAAGCATTCGAGAGAGAAAATTTCCAACTATCATCACCGTGATTTAGGTATTAGAGGGACGAGGATTAAAGATTCCGGAAAAACAAAAAGCGGTCACCGAAGAAATGTACTGCGTTTTAGAAGTAGACGAGCAACATCGGTGAGCTACTCGAACTATATCCCTATTTGTGCACTTTGTTTTTTTTTTTTTGTTGATTCTTTCTTCCAACTCTTCTCCTTATCTATGAACTCAAATTACTCTGACAAACTGAGCCCCACATTTGACAGGGCGAGGACCGGCGTTTCAACGGCCGAACAGCGTTTTCGATGGCGTGAGACGTTTCATATTGACGTGTTCAATGCTACAGTCACGCACTTCTTCGTCTACTCGTGGCACCCGCAGTTTAGGTGACTAGAATTGTTCATTGTACCGATAAAAAATTGGCATTTTTGAAGAAAAAAACTAGCTGTTCCTATTATCTCCTACAATAACTTTGAATTGATCAAATGATTTGTCTTCAGGCATAAGCTGTGTCACAAAGGCTCCTTGAAGCTGTTGGAAGCGTTCATTGTCGATCAACTGAATGGTGACCGAATGTTCGCTTTGAATCTGGAACCCCGCGGTCAGCTGATTGTACGGATAGGATTCCACGACATGCGAGCAGTTTTTCGGCGCACAGTCAATCCGAGGATGGATGGGTATGCTAACAAACCTCCAATTTCAGATTTTTAGGATTCCAACTTAGGTCTTCTCATTGTCAGTCAGTGGCTATGATATATGTGAGCACCGTCAACATGATTGATTGGAGGAAGATTGAATGGTCTATGGTAGCATGGGGGTGGGGGGCTAAGCCGTTGTTATTTACAGAAGACACCAATAGTTAGGTTGACTTTGATTTGATTTGTGGAAAAAATTGGTAGGTAGGCTGGCCGGTTGTTGAAAGGTGTGTAGCTTTTCAAAGGGGTTATCTGGGAGCCCAATTAAAACCCGAAAGTGGGAAATCACTATCTGTGAAAATCTCCCTTTTTCATTTAAGTTTTCACTCTACATTGTTTTTCATTCAGCTAACACTGCGATCTTGTCGCCTTCGCCAAAAACTGGAATTTGCAGATTCCTGTGAATCCCTCAACCAGACGATATTTCAGATCTTGACTTGTCCAGGCATAGGCTGTGGGTACCTAAACTGGTGTTGTAGATTACTACCAGACCTAGTGCGAATAACTCGTGATTTGCAAGACTGATTTAGGTATTTATAGCTCGGGTTTGGATAGCTGATGTGTATCTTTCCCTTCCAATCTTTGGCAAAGGTGGTAAAACAAAAACGTTAGCCCAATGAAGCTTGCTATCTTGGCAGATGCTTCACAGTTACATCTGAGACCTCGTTACCCTAAAATCAAGATTCACTGAGAGCTAGGGTTTAAGTTGAACATGGACTTTTTCACTGCTTGACTGAGCTCTACAGGCTTGAGGAGAATTTATATCCCTTCAGCCATTCCGAAATTGGTTGAATTTCAGCGTCTTCGGCGTTCCGCTTGGCCGTCTGCTGACCCGTGAGCGACGCGACACACCTATCGCCCTAACCCGACTCATTCAAGAGATCGAAAGGCGGGGTGTTGACTGTAATGGCTTATACATTTGTGAGTTATCCATCCTTCAATCCTGAATTGAGGTTTTTTCGTATTCGCCTAATAACTTTCTGAACAGTCAAGTGAACATCTTTACTCTTACTCCTAGGGATGTTCTAGAGTGATACTTACTTCTCGTGTTGTTGATGCTGGAATATTCTTACCAATCAATCATCTTAACTGTCGTATCTATCGCTTCCAATTCTCCGCATTATCTTTGCGAGTCAAAAGCATGACCTTTGAAAAACCATATTGTGTATCTTATTTTGCAGTATGCGGATCAGTGGAGAAGAAGCGGGTTTTGCGAGACGAACTGGAAGCCAATCCATTAGGTTGCGAACTATCTACTGACAGTGTGCCTGACACAAATGTTCTGGCGTGCTTGATAAAGGTTGGTTTGGAGAGATGTTTGAATTTTGGTCACGTGTTGCTCATGAATGAGTGGTTGACGAGGGTGCATGCTTGAAGGACTTCCTCCGAGAACTGCCGGAACCATTGATACCACCGCAAATCCATGCGATGTTAATCGATGCCGGAACTGTAACCCTCCCTAATGATGTACAAGGGAACCGACAACTTGTGCTACGGATCATTGACTGTCTGGCGCCACCAAACAAGGTAAGCATTCTCTATAACAAAGCTGTTAAACCTTATCTGTTTTTCTTTTGAGTTCACGTCATTTGTAAGTGCTCTCTCCTAGTTTGTGATTCCTCTCAAGTTGATTACTCTGTATGAGATTTACTTCATTCAATTGGCCTATAATGAGCGCGATAAAATTCAAGAAAGGATCTCTAGCACCAAGTTTATCTATTGAGTGATGTGTCACATGCATATTGCCAAATTGTTGTTATATTGGGAAAGCCGTGAGTGATTTTCCCTTTGACTGAGCAAACTCTTGNTTTTTCTTTTGAGTTCACGTCATTTGTAAGTGCTCTCTCCTAGTTTGTGATTCCTCTCAAGTTGATTACTCTGTAAGAGATTTACTTCAATCAATTGGCCCTATAATGAGCGGGATAAACTTCAAGAAATGATCTCTAGCACAAAGTTTATCCATTGAGTGATGTGTCACATGCATAATGCCAAATTGTTGTAATATTGGGAAAGCCGTGAATGATTTTCCCTTTGACTGAGCAAACTCTTGCACGCTGGCGTCTTCTTCCGGTGCGATACGAGTTTTTTTCCTAAATTGAGCCTACAGTAGCGACGTTACCCTATCCACCCTTTTACATCAGTTACTCGCTCTAAAGTGAACATACTGAAGTTGCGAGTATGTCCCGCTCTGCTAGCACACTACGAGTCTTTGGAAACTTAGCTACTTTTAGTGTGATAGAGTAGACCTTCCAAATAAGAGCTTTCCTAGAGCTTTAGGAAAGGCTAATCCTGTCCCTCAACTTGTCTCTTTTTATCAGTGAATTCATAGTGAGTAATTTGAAAAGGATTGCTCTATTTGAGTGAACTTTTTGTGGGTAAATACTAAAAAAAGCTCTAAGGCAAACACAAATGGCCAGCGGATATTTTTCGCTTGCTTCTGACTTCTTGACACTTCTTTCACGAAAGAATAAAAGTTTTTATAGACAGAAGCAAGTCCGGTACCTACTAGGAACTTCTCCTAGCTTCCAACTGAAATTAAAAAGAATCTCAATGAAATTGCTTATTGTTTCTTGCACACGGTGCTGAGGTTACATAATTGCTTACTGAAGATCATAGTGTCGAAGGGCGCCGCTTCGGAGGATCCGTACTCAGCGATCAGCTTGGTGCATCTCGGAACACGTTTGATAATTGTTGAAAAATTAAATATTTTCATACATATTATCATCGGATGTGTAGTTGTTTTCACAACAGGATGTTATGTGCAGATTTTGCTGTTAATATTAAGATGCACTTGTTTCGATATTCCCACTTTTATTTCATGAGGTTTCTGGGAAGTAGTTAGGATTTTTAAACGTTTCTCAGAAATTTTTCCTATTAAATCTTAATCAATGATATCCATCCAATTTTTTATTATCTTTTGCTATCCCTATCATTATTTCATAGCTCCTCTCTCTCCTGCACTTCCAGCTCTTTGATCATAAAACTGGGCCGCATGAAATTAAGGGGTTCTGCAAGATCGAATCAATTGGTACTCGGATGATGCGAGATTAGGGCTACATGGTGAATGCTGCTTTAAATTCAAACAAGCTTCTCTAATTTTTTCCGATTCGCCCGAGATGTAGGGCGGTCTTCTCTCGTCTTAGCGCAACGCTACTCCACTTTAACTCGCCATTTTTTGAGAACTTCTTCAGTTGCTTGATTGAGTTCCATTAAGGCCAAGTACAAGCTAACATGACGGCTTCCTGATAGCACTTCAAGCTATACCTCTTCTTTGCAGTCCCATCAGATTGGTTGCGTGACTTCTTTTTGGTGAAGATCAGCTTTAACTTTAGTTTACTTAAACCGTATTGACTTTTCGAACGACCCGATATTTTCTGTTTTTACTTTACCATAAAAAAACATGATTTCATGAGAAATAAAAAAAAACATGAAAATCAAGAATTCAGAAAATTACATACGACGATGGATTTTTCTGTTGTCTAGTTCTGTATTGTTCCCTATTATGTTTACTAATGGCACACTTGGCATGCAAAATAAATAACTAAATAAACGAGAAAAGTATGCATATTTCTTTTCAGAATACCTTACTGCTCGTCATGGACCATCTCACTACGGTACTTGCATCTTCACCTCACAATGGCCTGACACCTTCCCGACTCACCACTGTATGCCCCTTGAGCTAATTCGTTTCATTTTCTATAACAAACATTTGTTCACCAGGTATTTGCTCCATTGTTGTTATGCTGTGCTGAAACACCGCCGGTAAAAGAATTGCGACCGCTGGATGTGCCACAAGCTGCCTCCACACTGTCTCTACTTCTACAAATATGGCCATCTAGAGTCAGTGAGTTCTCATAATTTATCAAGTGTGTCGCATCAGCTTCACAACATTTACCGTTTTTCCTTCTACCTTCAATTTCTGATTGTTTCGGTACAGGAATGGTCTACGCGTAGGGATCTATAGTGAGTTTACTGAGAATGCTATTTTCGTGTTCTGCTGTCTTTTCCTTTTCGGCATGTCATTTGGCTGATATACCTCTATTTTCCAAAGGCTATCGATCGTTAAGATAAGGTGGTTTTCCCCTTCCCTACCATGAAGCAATCGCAGTGATTTCTGCTGGGAAATGCACCGCCTTATCAGAACCCCTCCGAATCCAACTTCATCGTATTACCGGTGGGATCACCTAGCTAACGCCCGGCTCACCTCCTTTTCGTGTGAAGTTGGCTTGGCACCCACGTCCCATCCAAATTTGGATCTGAGGTACAGGAGAACATGAATTATAAATTTCCACCGAACACACGCTCCTATATCCCTTTCACTGCAACTCCCTCTTCGATTTTTTTTTTCTTTTTGCACTTTGGAGAGATATTAACGCACGTGGTGCGCCACATCCCTTTTGACGCACTTTTTTATCGAGCACCGCTCAATGTTCGTGTTCGGAAAATGTCTCATACACACCTGCTGACCCTTATTCACTGCTTTTGTAGAACACCCCACGCTTCCCTCGAACTAGTGAAGTTTTTGTGGAACATGTGTGTCATGCACCTGAAGAAAATGTGAGATCAACCCCCGAATTTCCCATTCCATAGCTGGGCTATTATGCATGCTGAATATTTTCCATGCATCCGTCAATTGCTGGTACTTTTCCGTCCATCCCCTCCACCCTGCTGTTCAAAAAGGCATTGCATATGGTCAACTTTTCCGACGATGGGCGCTTAATCTGTCTTTCTTGGTTGTGCTATAGAAAGGTATTGAAGTGCTGGAGTAAATAAAGCCCCCCCCCCCCTCTCCTCTCCCCTAAAGTCACAGGCGAGCGTGCTGTGATAACCTATCAATGGAATTCGTGTTAGACAGGTCGATGTCACAAGTTGTACGCTTTCTCATCTGTTTCCGCATGGCCTTTGGAGACGATCGGAAATGAAGAGAGAAAAAAGGTCACGAGCAGATCCAATTTTCCATCGCTTTGCTTTGCTCCTTTCTTCTGCTTCCGTTCCTTCTTTCTCAAGTTCTTTCTTCTTTCGCCTACAGAATAGCGAATTTCGGAGACCATTCTGCAGATACTTCATGAAAGATAATTTTACTTCTCACCGCGGTCATCAATATTGTCTGTCAAAATTGCATCGTTTTCGTGATCGAACCTTCACTGACCATGCTGTGCCCAAAGATGACCTAGAAGTCAATTCTAAGAACGTTAAAATGATGCGAAGGATTTCGATTGCGCATCAGAACTGATTGATAGGAAGGGGCTAACCTCGCTCTAGGCAGTGGGCTAATAACTCATTTCAAACAACAGTTCCTACTATATTTTGCAAATCTTCCCAACATTACTGAAGTCTCGGAAATCATAAGATTCGATTTCAGATGGAAGCGAAACCGATTCCGACTCTCCCGGTCTCCTCCAGAGCACCTCGAATGCGGTATCGGAATCTCAGTGTTGAATAAGCGAGCTCTTATCTAGTCGCCTACGGCTTACTAAAATATTGTGCACTGCCGTTTCGTTTCTGTAAATAACTACTCTATTGACCTCGAATTACTTGACTGTAATTCTGAGATTGAACGAATAGAGAAACTGCTGAATCAAAAACCGGTGCGTACCCTCATGAACTGCTGCTACTGCTGCTGTATCGCATCCTTTTCTAGTATCCTTGCATGAAAATGTTTTCTCAGGTACGCGTATTTGTTCTAGTCTTTTGATATGTTGTCATACCGTTGTGTCCACGGTATAGCCGTGTGTATTCGGTTTGTTTCATCTCTGCAATTCATACAGATTCTGTTTCATTTCTTGTCGAACATTTTAGTCTTTCATATGTTTTAACTTGCCTGCAAGAGCAATATATAATTTGGTTTTAAAAAACCATATTTAGTGTTTATTATTATTATTATAATTATGATAATTTATTTCATCTATATATTTCTCCTCAGAATTCCGGGATGTCATCATATGATCTCCTTGGTTCAGCAACGCATCTGTTGATGATTTAATGCTCATTTATTATCGTCATTTTTTTTACTTGTGCACAGTTTTTATGAGTTGGTGTGTTCGTTGAAGATTTCTCCATATTGTTTTTTTTTCTTTTTTTTTTTTGCAAAATATTCTTTCTTGTATGCTCATTTGAATGAGGACGATGATGAGATGGTGATGGACATGATGACAGCTTGTTCTGCACGAGCACTAATTGTCATAGACACAGTCGCACGCGTCACCGCTGTTTTGTATAGAAATGGAAAGCGTGGCGCACTCTAAAGAGGGGAAATGTCAAAGGTTATAAGGGTTTGGGATTAGAAAGCTTCTTTCATGGTCAACAACCCTACAAGCTTTCCGTATTCGTAGTGTGGGGATGATGCGGACTGCAAATGTCGTGGCATCTTGTTTTTGCTTGGGTCATTTTTCCCTGGNCTTTCGTGCAGCGAGCAGTTTTCAACGTTACGAAGTAGTTCAACCCCGTCAGATCATTCAAAGCCACTCAGCATTAGCCTCACAGAGTCGTTGTAAAACGTTCTCACTTCTCAGAGTAGGTTATGGCGGCAGTATCGTTGCTGCACGTTGTTAATATGCAAAAATTAAATAAAATTATTCATTTCTTCTGTTGTTTTGGTACAACACAACAAAATTTATCATAGGGAATCACCGAGTCGAAAGACCCTTACAGGTAGAAATAATGGAAAAGTCAGAATTGATAGAATCGATGAGAATCTGTCAAACATTCAGCAAGGCTTTAAAAGGTTAGTGAACAGTAGTTCAACTATGTAACAAGCACTAAAGACCTGATTTGAAAATGAGGTGAATATCGAGGTAACCAAATTTATCACACTAGCATTCAACCTAATGGTATTCGGCGAATACCGTTTATTGGAAAGCCTGTAGTCCTGTGATGGCTCGGCCAAGAACTAGCGCATGGATGTCGTGTGTGCCTGAAAACATGCATTTAACGCTAAGTAGCTACCAATAATAGAAATTTATCGGATGGCTGGTCACTGAGCACACTTGGCTGCAACAGCTTTTATCGTCTTGGAAGTGGCATGACATGGAGGGTTTTTGGAAGGGCTTTTTAAAAGGAAAGGGATGTCTTGGTCGAGTGTGAAAATTAGCTACAAATTTCTAGGCCTTTCATAGAACTGTAAAGATTAAAGATTCCGTTTGATTTGAAGGAAGAGCAGTCCTATTCTGATATTACCAGATAAGTGCTAGAGCATCCAGGTCTAAGGGCTTCTGCAGCCATGTCCGAGCAATACCATCTATATTTGCAAGCAAAATGATTCTATGATGAATACAGTACACGCAAAATACTTCATGCCAGTCACCTGGGCAGATCTAGTTGCCTAATACTTTGAGGGCTGAAGCAGTGAATTTTCTGCGAAAGTTAGTTCGTCTTGCTTACTGCAGTTTCTCGCTGAAGTTCCTGGCTGTGTGTTCGTTGTTATAGAGACACCGTGTCTGGGGCTTATCTCTCTTCGACGGTTTGCTTTGATTTCATGTCAGGCCACTTTTTTATCAATCTACTCGAAAATCATGAAAAAAAANAAAAAAAAGAAAAAGACCCTGACATCAGCTCAGCACTGAAATACGACCACTTTTCTGTATCTGCTGGTAAAAGGAGATAGACTAGCCATCACCTATTCAATATACAATCAGTCCCGAACTTTGAACATTTGTGCGAGCAACATACAAGTTCACGTTAGTTTTCAACCCAGCTGTTCCCGAGTCAGAGTTAAATTGCTTTGGAAAGCCGAAAGATTCGATGTTTGGGTGGGTTCAAACTGCAGAAATGAACAACGTAAACATTTAGCCGCTGCGCAACTCAACTTTTCTGTTAGCACTGAGGAAACACGGCAAGCTGCATATGCGCAAGAAGACACCTCTGACTAAACTTTCGCTTGGAAGACTTTCTTACAATTAGATGGGTATAAATACCCAGCTCATTTTCTTGGACTTCGTATTTTGCTCGAATGGAAGAATAGAAGCGATAGTAATTCAGTCGATGAATCTCATCATTTTTGCATACGACATGTTGGCAGGCAACGGCTCGTCAAAAGAATTAAAGAATTACTGAACATTAACAAAATAGGATGAAAAATGACCTTCATAAGTGTTGACTGTCTCTAAATTGACCATATGTCTCATGACATGATACTCATCGACAATTCCATTTCCTCCAAGGATATCTCGAGCTTTTCGTGCAATTTCTAATGATTTCCCACATGAATTTCGCTTGATTAGAGAAATCATTTCGGGAGTCGCTTTTCCTTCGTCCTAAACACACGCTTAATTGTGAACTGTAAATCAAAGAAGAGGCAACATCGGAAGTGAACTGTAAACTAAAGAAGAGGCAACATCTGATGTGAGCACTCCTACGACCATACCTTCAATCGAGCCACTCTTAGACAGCCCTGCAATCCAAGGGTGATCTCAGTCAACATGTCAGCAAATTTGAGCTGTATAAGTTGTGTCTGAGCGAGCGGACGCCCAAATTGTTGTCTGAATGACGACTTTCAATACTGTCAGAAAAACTAAACGTTTTGAGCTTCTTATACCACACTTTACTGAAAGAATGCATACCTCATCCAGAATGAAAACGTATATAACATAGCACACTACTTTTAACAAAGGTGAACAATCACTTGATCCATCGCAGTTTCGGTAGCTCATATGAAAATGAGAATGCTACTTCTCTCTACGACAAAAAGAAAAAATATGCTAAGATCAAAAACGAGACTGGCTTGATTTCTAGGGGTGGTGGAATAGCACAGTTAAGCTTTTATGAGCGTCCAGAAATTTCTGAGATATTTAACAACATACCTGTCCAAAGCGTACTGCCGTGCATAGTGGAAGCATGCCTCTGCTGCACCCAATGTACCAAATGCAATGCCAAAACGAGCATTGTTCAGGCAACCAAAAGGTCCACTTAAGCCTTTCACCTGATAAAGATGTATGAATTGAGACAGAAAAGCTGCAGTAACATCTCAGAAAACCTACATTTGGAAGTAAATTGGCTTCGGGAACAGGAACCTCGTCCATTGCAATTTGTCCAGTGATAGAAGCACGTAGTGAGAGTTTGCCCTCGATTTTAGGAGCCGACAATCCATCCATTCCTTTTTCAAGGATGAATCCCTAGAAATAGTCTTCTGATAATGCTGACGTGCCCAGAGATGTACTGTCAAGCTTTCTGGGTGCGAATTTGCCGCGCGCGAAAAGAACAATCGCGCAAGAACATTTCACACGGATAGGTTAAAAAGTAACACTCAGAGAAGACATCGCTGGGAGCGAGAGGTAACGGATTTTACAAGGATATGGTATACTTCAGTAGCCAAGCTGTTTGGCCCAAAGCGAAGTATCAAAAAGTGAATGCATTTAGTATTTCGAAAAAAGGCTTTGTAATATGTTGAAAAACAAACCTTGACATCATTGTTATGCTTATCACTTCTGGCCCAGACTATAAAAACATCCGCCACAGGGCTATTACTGATCCAAGTTTTCGTGCCAGTCAGACGATACGTCTTCGTTTTCTCGTCCCACCTACAAAAGTGGAAATTCTCAGTCATGAAACTGCTTGCAATTGCAAAAAGCTTTCAAAGGATCATTCAAAATTATAACAGTAGGATGAGGCTTCCTTCTTTTACACCTCAAACACCCTCCGTACTTTACTCTCTGCTTCAACGTTCCACTGACCACTTGCCGCCTTCTAATTAAGACAGGGCGCGATCAATATTAAAACCTGCTAGGTTTGACAGTGTTGTTTGGTGGTAAGATGACCATGTTGCGAGATGAAATTTCGAAGTTAGTGTCCGTCTTCGCTGACAAACCCTCTTTCAGCTCGCTTTGATTTAGCGGATCATTAAAAGCGATCAAATATTTCAGTCTAACAAAGCTTATTCCTTTCAATTTAGAGCGGGCATAGGTGCCTCGAAATTCGTCTCTTGCTCCACCCGTCATATAAAATAAATAATAGCCTGCATACCTTGCTTTGGTTTCCATACCAGCCGGATTTGAACCATGATTTGGTTCAGTCAATCCGAAACAACCAATGAGCTCTCCACAAGCCAAACCCGGAATATATTTCTTCTTTTGTTCTTCAGTTCCTGCAAGTTATTCCAAAAATAAAAATGTAGCTCGGACAAGTAAGCAAATGTTCAAGTTTTATAATAGCAAAAACCATTGAGGGTTTGTCAAACGAGGAATCAACAGCAAATTTCAGAAAATCGGATTTTTTTGGTATGAACGTTCAGAGCACTTCAAAATATCTAACTCATAGAATCTATGCTCTATGACCTAGTAAAGGTATTACGTCTCAAAGACGGAAAGAAGTGCTTTATAGACAGGAGTAGTGAGGGGCACAATCGACTAACATGCAAAAGTAAACAAAGTGATAAAATGCCAGTACCTGCCGAATCTTCACCATGCGCATGGTGAAATTTAGTTTTGACCGTCTTAATTATTACAGCGCTCAAATGGCGTCATCTTTATAAAACAACTATCGTGAGCCTAATTCATTACGACGAAGTATGTCATTCAACTGGTTTTTAGCCCTGTCACGTAAGCGCTGAATAGGGGGTTCTGGTTTATGCACCCTCGGGATAAGATGTATCACATTCGTGTTTTACTAGCCATGTTTCCCCGCGAAGATACAAAGTAACCCATTTCTTCCTTTTTTTCGAAAACTTTATCTAACCATAGTTATAAATAGGTCCAATGACTAGACTGGTCTGAACGCTCATCGTCGATCGATACCCTGAATCTACTCGTTCAACTTCACGTGCTATAAGCCCATAGCCAACAGTCGAAGTTCCGGCGCATCCATAACCCTGAAAAATCAATAAAACATCTGGAAAGGAAACTGGATAGGATAAAAATTAAACGGAGCTCACTTGGTAAGGTGCTCCAAGAAGTCCCATTTTTCCCATTTCAGGTATCAAAGTGGGATCGAATTCTGAAGTTCTAGGCAATTTAACAATGAGATATTCTCAAACATAACAAAATTTCAAACAAAAACCGTACTCTCTTCACGGTAAGCAGTAATTATTCTTGGCTGCAATTTCTCTTGGCAATATTCATGAGTTGAGAACATGAGATCTCGTTCCTCCTAAAAAAAATATGGAGAGCAGGAAAAAAGTGTTTTCTGGTCGATAAAATCTTACATCCGTAAGTTGTGAATTGAAGTCAAAGGCATCGAGAAAATTGAAGGAGGAACTACCTAAAAATATTCAAAGTCAGATTATACTACATCAAACTATTAGAAACCAGTATATTCCCTAAGAATGTCACTGCTTGGTAGAAACTTCGTTAAAACTATGTACATGGTAGCTTTCTTATCTATGAGACCCTATAAAAAGCCATTTCCCATCTATAAAAAGCGAACTACCGCGAAACTCCAGTACAATATTAGACACTAATCTGTGTACTTTCAAAAGACCACTTGCAAACAAATGGCCTCAACGGCCTTGCCGTAATTTATGAATATTTGACTGACCCTATATGAGCAACAAGGGCAGCAGGCCCTTATCATTTATGTAAGCAACTTGTAATGAGAGGCCTTACTTCGAACTGCAGAGACCCCAGATGGTAAGGTGTTGAGAAGACCACGTGCAACTCTTGACAACATCCTGAAAAACACCGATAAACTTACAGAACTACTATTTCTATGGACTGCAACTGATACCAACAAACGTGATATGTTTGCGCTTTAAAGAAAAAGTTCGCCATGCATCACTGTTATAACCCAGATTAGAACGAAAAGAGGGTGACTTTATTGGACTTCAATCGAATTGAGCAACTTCGCTGCGTATAACGAAAAGTCGGTCCTTTTTAAAGGACTGGTTTAGCACAGGCACCCCACCCACAAACTAGCTCGAAAAGACGAATAAAAGGGGTTCAAGAGCAAAACTGTATAACCCTGGGAGCAACACATCTATCAGGAGATTGAGAAAGAGTCATCCCATCCTTTTCTTGTTGATTTTGACCACTAGTGTTGGTACAAAATGACGTATTGATTTGTTCGAGGGAGGGATGAAAATATCGGAGGAATAGGCGGTGAGACTGTGTACAGGAGACTATGAGAGGTGCATGTCTTTTCTCAAAATGAGACCTGGATTGTGACTAAAGCTAAAATTGAACAACTAAGTAAGACACAGTGAAGAATCCAGTCACGAGACCAACGTTCGATGGGCACTTTAACTTGTTGCGAAAGAAACTGGATTAAATTTGCACTCAACTTGCTCTTAACAATTGTTAAACAGAATCGACCGATTGGACGTGGCGAAAAACTGAAACAAACGCTGTTGCAATGACAACCTGTTATCTCCGCAAACAATCGCGAACAGCACCTACCACCTAGCACCTCACACTTGCTAACATGGTTCAAATATCACGATTAGACCTTTGAGTTGTGCTGTGAATAAAACGCTTAGTAAAACATTTATGAATTTATTTCTTCGCAACTCGATAATGACTAGCCAGCAAAACTGGTGAATGTGCATCTCGAGATAAGATGAGGACGGAATTCCTTACATTGCAAGTTAGAGAAATCATCTAAATAGAAAAAATCCACTGTGGACCTCATAGATGTGTAACAAACTACGATCATTAACACATAGTACAGTTAGAATGATACAAATCAACCTACGCTGAAAACGTATACCCGCAACGGTGAAGCGTAATTCAGTTATAATGACCTAATTACACATGAATACCAAGTGCGTGTGGATAGATGTATGCGGGAATACTAATTTAATAAATACATACAACGAAATGACATACAAAAATTCGATTTAATGCTTGATCAGACATCGGGAAGAATGCAAACCTTCGAAATTCCGCGGTACCAAGCTTGATTATGCATGAGACAATGGTGGAAGGATTCTCATAAGCTGCTCACGTAAAACCGGATCCGTAATTGCTTTCGAAGGGAACTCCACCTCGAACTGTACAATTAGGTCACCATAGTGTCCTGGAGCTTTGGGATTGGGCAAACCCTTCCCAGTAATCCTATAAAGAGTTGTATGAATACAAAAGCACGAAGCACAAAAGCGTTACCAGACCATCCTACAATGTTCGAGCTTGAATAAAAATAAGACCTCCAAGCTTACCTTCTGACGGTATTCGGTTTGATGTTATCGAGCCGTAACGTAGTTGGTGGACCCATAAGAGTAGGAACCTCGACAGTACAACCACATAGAGCATCACGCAAAGCTACACGATGAATGTATCGAAGATCACATGCCTCTCGTTTGAATATTTTATGCGGCTTATCCTGAACTGATTCCAATGAAAATCACTACGAAAAATCTACGCGGCTACCAACGATCCTTTTCAATAAATAAATTATGCCATATCTGGAAGAAGAACAAGTATCTCATACCTTTATGACAAAAACGATATCAGCTGGAACCCGACCGGGATGTTGATCTCCTTCTTTAGGGAACGTGATTTTTGTACCACTTTTCCATCCTGGTTTGATATTGATCGTCAAAACCTTATCTTCTACTCTAGTCGAATGACCGTCCGCATTCAAGACTTTCCTAAAGCACAATACCATACTGCCTATTTCCTACTGTTGCGAAATGACAACGAACTAAATGTGAAAAATTCCAACCTCGTAATTTTCATTTTCTTCGTGCACCCTTGGTAGATATCCTCGAGACTAACTTGTAGTTCGTGTTGTACAGTAGGGTCCTGTTTCGGGGCGGCTAAAACAGAGTAGAAGAATTCGGTGAGATTTAATAAAACAAGAAATGTTAACTAACATCTTCGGTGTCCGTGAGGCATGCCACCGCCAAATGCTGAGAACCCATTCATGCCATCGTCCATACCACCGCCTCCCATATTGAAGAAGATATTTGGATGACCACCACCCATTCCAAAAATACCACTGAAGGGGTCTTCCGATCCGAAAAACTGCGTAAACATACGCATTGGATCACCTTGGAACTGAAAAAATAGTGACACGATGTTTTAGACAAGAAAACTCCATTTTTTCAAACACAAATTTTAAAAGAACAGAATTGAAGGATAAGGGACAAACCTCATAGTGGAATCCACCTGGTCCTCCAACATCGGGTCCACCGTTTTTAAGACCGTCTTCACCATATTTATCATAAATCTCCTTCTTTTTAGGATCGGAGAGCACATCGTATGCCTCAGCAATTTCCTAAATCAAGAAATTTCATTCAAATCATTCACAATCACTGATGACTATCAGACATTCCTTTACTTCCTTCACTAATACACACTTTGCATAACCTGTTTCCACTCTTCAAAAAGTTGCTATTTCAGCCAGGGTAAGCCTGTATTGGTTCTCAAATCATTAAACAAGGCTGATGAAATTTCAAAACAGCAATAACCTAACAATCTATACACTAATCCGCCAATGTGAACAACCTGAACATCCCGAAACTTATACTTGTTCTAATTATGCTTCGACTGGCTGCAAGAAAGAAAGCGAACGACTTTTCTCTCAAGACCTCCAGCATTTGCAAATAAGAATAATAGTCAGCGAGCTGTTCTCAGTTGCACCCGTTTTTATCTCGAGATAGATATTATGTGCACAGTTTGAACTGAGCTAATGGGAGGTTGCACGAACTGCTTAACCCCAGCGAGCATTCTCTAACATTCATTATCCTACTCCACTTGCACACTAGTATAATGGCCAATGCATCGCACCTTTTGGTACGCGATTGGACGATCAGCCTTAGTTCTACACAAGTTTCTAACGAGTCACGATATCCGAGAAGAGTGGAAGAAGGGATAACTTTGAAGACGACTTCACTTTGAGAGAATAACGCGCGAGAGAAGCTCAATACCTCGGTGAAAATGTAGTTGGGGGGTGCCAGCGCCCTTCCGTCTAGTTGCTCTGCGTCTCTGACCCAGGCGGCAGAGTTCCTAGAGACCGCACTGGAGCGCGGCTATGGCCTCTTAATAGTGGTAGGGAATGTATTCTTTAACAAGGGGAGGGGCTCCG